TGATTCATTTGCCATCTCTGTATTCCAATGCCAGTCCTCTCAAAATGCTCAATATCTTATTTTCCCCAATAGTTAAAATTTTGTTTCAAATTTTCCTCTGATCTTGAAATTCTCAAAATTAATAGTTTTGTCTATGAAAAGTATTTACAGTTCTGCTTTTGTTGCTGTTAATTATTCCTCCCATTGCAGTTTAATTAATAAGAGATTGCATCTTACTCATTCCATGTCTCAGGATGTTGCTTCAAAGAACTACCCATCTAAGCCAATGCTTAACAGCTTTACTCCCAAGAGCATATTTCATGGTGATATTGAATTTTAGCAATCAGATATGGTCATTAAATGTAGAAGATCTGGCATTCATGATGCATTTTTATAATTGCACATAATTGCACTATTCATCTTGGTAGAATTTTTAATAAGCTGTATGTAAACAAGTATATTTCAAAATTATGATAGAAATCTTTTCATGTTGCTCCAACATCGAGGAATTTTAATTACATGGGTAGATTTCATGTCTGGGTAAGCAGAAATTAGACCACCACTCATTATTCGGATGATTTTTATCAATTAATTTCTGAGGTGTGCAGTTAATTCTTTACACATGTTTAAAGCCTCCTGTAAATAATTTGGAAAAGTACTGACAGGGCCTTGGTGCATTTCTTGCTGTTTCACACCATAAAATGTAGTGCATAAGTGAATTTACAGAAAAGGATCTGAAGTAATATCACTGCAGGCAGTGGCAGCAGGAGACAGTAGATGTCTAGGACTGGCATTTGGGCTGCAGTTGCTCCTGGCAACTGCATCTCAAGTGCCGTCTGCATTTGGAGCAGTGCTACTTTCTTCATTGGCTCCTTCAGCAACTCTCTCTGTTGCTTTTGTGACCTTTCTGGACTGCTTACCCTGTTGCAGCTGGATCCAACTGTAGAGAGTGATATCAGAGAAAAGTACAATTTGGAAACAGGAGCTTTGATATAGGAGCGTTTTTTGAAATTTGTATATGAAAACTGCGAAGAATTACTTAATTCATGATTTGTCAAAAAGACTACAGATCATGTATTTTTGAGCCTTTGACTCAGTACTAAAGCTTTTGGAATAGGACTGAAGAATTGAGCATCTTCAGATATAATACAGTGCAGAATTCCTGACGGTAAGTTGGAACACATGTAAATCTTGCTCAACATTTGTCCTGGCTTTTGTTATCTTATGAGATTGAAGGTAAAGAACCTGGAAAAACACTGCCTTGCTTTCTTAGGCAGTTAACATCTTCTAATTAAGAGCGGATGTGCAGCACAGCCTCTGATATCTAAGGAGCTGGTAATCTAACACACCCATCTTAGTACATGTCCACCCACATGCATTTGCTGTTACCTTTCATTAAAGACTTTGCAACTTCCTGGAGTTAGGCATGCAAATACTAGCATCTGTGATAATTGATCTATAGGTTTTCAATCTCTAGATTTAAAACTAGGGAGATTAATAGAGAAGATGCTAGCTATCTTTTGTGCATTGAGTGTTCTTTGCAAGTAATGATAGAAAACCACCAAGCAAATAGATGTTCTGAGCCTCTAACAGATTGCCTCTCCTCAGAGTCTTCAGTATTTTTATGTTATGAGCTTTCCTTTTAATAGAAATGCTATTCATGATTTCAAAAGAATGCATTGCATAAACTTTGGCAGCTTTGTACTTGTGCACTTACTCAAGTTATAAAGTGACAGGGAAACGTACAAAGATTTGCCTTAGTGAGGATGACACAGAAAGCCTTGCTGAGGGTTTCTGATAGTTTAACAAGTTGGATTTTTTCCCCTCAGACTTAAGAAAAACGAATTAAAAATTTGAAAAATTAATATGCAAATGCCAAGTTTCAAAAATCTATAAATTAATGTACTGTAATTTCCACATGATACTGTTTGATAGAGACTTGTAGAAAGTGGCCAGCATTCTTAGATGTCTCCAAGTATGGCAATTGCTGACATTTAAAAACATGATCATAAGACAAAATTGTACAAGGTGGACCTCAATTTTAGAATTATTTTCTGCCTCCAGCATACATGCAAAACAAATTTTCATCAATGTGAACAATTATTAATTTGAAAGTTAATTATTAAAGGATGAAAGTGGAGATTTCTTTTTGTTATTTGAAGTCTTATTAGGTTGATGTTTCTCATACCGATGTTTATGGGAGACATTCTGAAAAATTTGGAGAACAAGAATTGTGGTTATAAGCCCAATCATGACTCTTTATCTGCACTGATCTAGAGCTTTGCCAGTCAAATTGTTTTATATCATTAACACCTCATTATACCTCATTTTCAGACAATCTCCACTACTAGTTATGAGAGTAGTCAGGGCATAGATACAATGTCCTTATTTTCCATATTAGAACAAGTAGACATCGTCTGATATGTAGCGTATAAGGAAGAAATATTTGACATTGGAACTCTCAGAATCCACAAGGCAAGTTGCCATAGCTCTGGGGAGAGTGACAGCTTGAATGTAGTAGATAAACAACTAATGTTTTGAGTACTAAAATTGTATGACAAATGGTTTCCCTTTGGTCAACATCAGCCCTTTGACTTTTAGAAAATTAGACATTAAAATTATACACAAGAACAGAAAACCAAACACCACATGTTCTCACTCATAGGTGTGTGTTGAACAATGAGAACACATGGGCACAGGGACGGGAGCATCGCACACTGGGGTCTGTTGGAGGGGGAGTTAGGGGAGGGACAGTGGGTGCTGGGGAGGTTGGGGAGGGATAACATGGGGAGAAATGCCAGATATAGGTGATGGGGGGGATGGAGGCAGCAAACCACCTTGCCATGTATATACCTATGCAACAATCCTGCATGATCTGCACAGGTACTCCAGAACCTAAAGTGCAATAAAAAATAATAATAATAAAAATTATACTTATTTTTTCCTCTACCCCTTTGCCAGGGAATGGCCTATAACTGTGCTTCTTAAATCTTACCACCAGCAGGCAGGGGAGAGCGAATGCATATACTCCATATACTCAAGTTTTTTGGGGATGCAGAGCAAAGCATTCCATCCACCCAGGGAGTTTTCTTTTTGTCTCATATTTTATCCAAAACCTTATTAACATTTTACCTTCTACTCATTGTTCCTGTTTAAATATACAAATAATGACTACATTTATTAAATATTAAATTACTTAAATTTTTCCCAAAATACATGAGTAGATTTAATGCTGCTGGGTGATTGCTGTGTTTATGTTTGACTTTGAGAACCATCCCCCTCATTTCGGCTATGATATGCTTCAGGGAAGGGACTGCTTCTTGTAACTTTCTGTTTTCCAGATACCAAGTGTAGTGCTTGGCATAGAGGTGATATGAATAATGTGTGCTTATGTTGGATATGTATCTATTTATCCCATTCGAGTACATGTGCAATGCTTAATAAGTGTTTCGTAAGTAAATGAATGATAGCATGCTTACATTAGGAACATGTGTTTATATTCTTGGAAAGCCTCTGTGTGGAAAAAAAATAGGTATATATTTTTGGTTCTTAACCTTTAAATGTTCATTTTTTTAGATGTCTGAACTCAGTTTTTCATGTGTTTATTGTCAAAGAGTTTTCTGCTCCAAAATTTTCCTGTGGTTGGGATATCGAGACATCTTTTTGGCTCTTTTCTGCATATTTTCATGTATTTTTACATGTTCTGTTTTTGTCTTTGTTTTAGTATCTCCTATTTCTTTAAATTTGATACATATACCGATTTTATGATAAAAATATTTATTTTATGTCTGATTATCTATCTTTGGCATATAAGTTCACAGTGGCTAATTATCTCTTGCATGTTTTGATTTATGATTTTATCAACTCATGTCCCTTGAATTTTAACTATAGGATTTTTTGAAGCCTTGTTTTGAAGTGCATTCTTCCAGAGAGGATTTACATTTGATTTTGCCAGGTGCCTGGGATTATTTAAAATTGCACTTTGGGTTTTCTGAGCCACATAGATCCTGGAAATTTTCACCCTAACACCATGTAAGTTCAACCTCCTAGTTAGCATTTGACATTTTTTCCCTCCTTTCCTCCCAGTTTATCCAGACCCAAATCCTATCATACAGGCAGATTTCTTCATTATTTCCCTCTCCTTTTTCCCTTTATACCTCTAAAGATGTCAGCATTTGAGGAGTTCCAAATTCATCGGCAGTCTTTGACCCAATCCCCACCGACATTGACCCCAGCTCTGCTTCCTGCCTCTGTGTACCTGGGCACCTTGCCCCGTTTTTCCAGCTAAAACTAACTTGAAACCCTCACCAGGATTGGCAGGTGCCCCTAGGGCAAAGGTGTAGCATGAACAGGGAGGGGTCTCTGGCCTGTTTGAAATTTGTTTTCTTTTGGATTTTGGTCTCTGGAGAATTTTCCTTTCTTGTTTTCCATACATGTATGCCTTTGAAAATAATACTAAGATACTTTATTTTGCATTTAGGAAAAATTGGAGGAGTTCTCTGATTATTTAGTCCATTGGAGACAATAAATTTTCTCTGGACAATAAATAAGCTCTTGAGTGTTTGCTGTGTGTAAGGCACATGACTGACCCCTCTCACACTGGAGAAACATGAGCATCCTGGTCAGTAATGAAAATGGGATATTCTGCACTATCCTGTCTAGATCTCCTAGTGGCAGACATTTTCATGGTGAATACAGTTTTTAGTGTCCCTGGATTCTTATCTATAATACAAAGCGACTGGACTAGCTGATCTTTATGGATCCTTCCAGTCCTAAATGTTCTGCCCTCCATGACTCCCAAAACACTATAGTTTGTTTTCTTTTTTGATGCTTACAGTGGTTCAGCTGACGTCCTGAGCTCAGTTACCCCTGTCTCATTTAGAAAACCGTTCTGTCTCTCTCTTATTTCTATTTATGTATACATTTATTTATTTTACTGTTTTGCCAATCTGCATGTACTTCCTAGTGCTTTGATCTTTCAGGAAACACCGGGAATAAGTGTCTTCTCTGTCCCCCCACAGGTCGCTTCCCTGGGAGTCACTACCTTCACCTTATGTGCTCTGTGCATAGACCGCTTCCGAGCTGCCACCAACGTGCAGATGTACTATGAAATGATCGAAAACTGTTCTTCAACAACTGCCAAACTTGCTGTTATATGGGTGGGAGCTCTACTGTTAGCACTTCCAGAAGTTGTTCTCCGCCAGCTGAGCAAGGAGGATTTGGGGTTTAGCGACCGAGCTCCGGCAGAAAGGTGCATTATTAAGATCTCTCCTGACTTACCGGACACCATCTACGTTCTAGCCCTCACCTACGACGGTGCGAGACTCTGGTGGTATTTTGGCTGTTACTTTTGTTTGCCCACGCTTTTCACCATCACCTGCTCTCTGGTGACTGCAAGGAAAATCCGCAAAGCAGAGAAAGCCTGTACCCGAGGGAATAAGCGGCAGATTCAGCTAGAGAGCCAGATGAACTGTACTGTAGTGGCACTGACCATTTTATATGGATTTTGCATTATTCCTGAAAATATCTGCAACATTGTTACTGCCTACATGGCTGCAGGGGTTTCGCAGCAGACAATGGACCTCCTTAATATCATCAGCCAGTTCCTTTTGTTCTTTAAGTCCTGCGTCACCCCAGTCCTCCTTTTCTGTCTCTGCAAACCCTTCAGTCGGGCCTTCATGGAGTGCTGCTGCTGTTGCTGTGAGGAATGCATTCAGAAGTCTTCCACAGTGACCAGTGATGACAATGACAACGAGTACACCACGGAACTCGAACTCTCGCCCTTCAGCACCATCCGCCGAGAAATGTCCACCTTTGCTTCTGTTGGAACTCATTGCTGAAGGGCGGTACTTGGTTGGGTCATTTTATTTGTTTGATTTTCATATCCTGTGAAAGTTTTTAATTCCTATTTTTCCTTATAGGGAAAAATGCAAAAAAGAAATAATAAAGAAATATTAACTGCTGTAGAACTGATTTTACAAATTAATATTTGTGCTTTGAAAAAAGTTTCTATTTAGTTATTTAAGAAGAATGAGAAGGTCAATAGTTTTAGATGATTTTATCTGGTACGGTGCTAATATTTTATTTGAAAAAAGTTACTGCAACTTAACTTAAAATTCCTAACATCTTTTCTTCTTTTAAAAACACAATTATTGTATATTGATTATAGCCATGTGATTTTGTAGGTTATTTTATATTTGAGTTGTGATTGAAAGTATACTGTATATGGTATTGTGAGATGATTTGTACTTGGAAGCATTCACAAAGTAGCACCAAATAAATTACACTTTATTCTTTAATGTCATTGTCAATCTACTTTTAACAAATATTCAATAAATCTTCTAATTGCCTTAAAGATCCAATTACTGGTTCTATGCACAATTTAAAACTGGCCTTACTATTTTATAATATATTTTCTTTTAAGGCAGGTAATCATTATGTAATAAAGAAGTTTTTCTAATAGCAGTATTTTATATGCATGATTCATAAAACAATATTGTATGTTAAAACAAAGATGTATTTTAAATATTCAGGCATAGATGTCAAATTACTTCTGAATATTTATAAAATATGAATAAATAACAGAGTAGGAAGAAAGTTTCTGTTTTTTTAAAATTCACCTCTGAAGTAGCACATAGAGTTACAGGTTTTCCCTTGAGGAATTATGGGCAGAATCAAGAATTTTTAAAATGCAGTTGTCATCTGATTTCCTCTGAACACTGACCTTTGAAGCTTTGTGAATCCTACATAAAGCGCTCTGAGTTCTAATTTTTCTCCTTTTGAAAAATAAACTTGACTAAATCTATACAACTTAATTTCTTTAAGTGCAATGAAAGTATGGGAGTGGAATAATAAAATATTCATATATCTTTATGAGAACATTCAAATACTACCTTTACATTGATACTTCATAAACTCTGAATAAAAAAACCTAACCTCCTCCATTGGGAGTATTTGGATCCCCTCTTTTGCCTCTTCAGGAATTTAAATATCAGCAATTGTATAGGATGCCTGCTGTGTGGGACACATGTCTAACTCAGATGGCAGAGACCATGATCTAGTGAAACAGTGATATGTAAAAGCTACCAAAGAAGATGAGTAGTTGAATGTCTGTCTTCAGAAAAATCTTGTTATAGGGGAACCCAGTTTTCTTGCTGGGAAAATGTATTTTCTGCTTGATGATTTCTGTTCTACTCAGCATAAGTAAGTCAGTATTCCTTTTTCCAAATTATAGCATGATGTTATTTAAAAATCATTAAACAGATTGTGGTACAAATGAAACTCAGGTTAACTAAGTGGGAGTGCCCACGCTATCTCCCTTTTCCCAGTCCAATACTTTTCAAAGGGATTTTTCCCACCATTGTGTGTATCCATGGGATCTGCAGGAGAATAAAAACAAGGCACCATTGTCTTCCTATAGATCCCTGTAATAGGTCTTTGGAAAAATTCTCAAGAGGACACCTGAGCTAGGTTTTGGTTGCTGAGCAGATCAGCAATTCTGATTCCATAGTGTCAGTTTAGTCACTTTATAAATCAAGGAACGATTGAGCATGCCATGTAGAAAAGGTTCTAACCTATTACCTGAGTAACTTAAGGCAAATAGGTCAGTCTCAGATCTTACAAAATTAGGCAGGGGTGACATGGTCAGGAAAAAAATAAATACGTAGACAACTATGATATAAGCTGGGGCTTGTTGGGTGCCTTAGGACGGCGTGAAGTTCTGCGATAGTTTTGAGTAGAGAGAATACATGTTGGATTAGAAGGGAGCATGAAAGGTTTTATGAGATAACTGAATGGGTGGGCTTTTAGAAGGAGCTGATGAAAGATTGTGTGAGGAGTGGACACTTCAGGAAGAGAGAGCTAATTTATAAGGATTAGAGGAAGAAATCACTGGGTGTCGCTGAAGAATAAACAGTCCGGTTTGACTTCTGTGCTACGTGTGCATAGAAGCCTTGTGGAAAATATTACTGAAAATATGTATCAAGGCCATCTAATAAAAGGGCCATGTTTTGAAAGATGTTTAGATGGTGGTGCTTCAGGAAATGGGGCTTTGCTTTTAAGGTTTTTGAGTGTGGAGAAATAGTATCACAACTCTGCAATAGAAAGATTGACATGGGGGCTGGGTGCGGTGGCTCACGCCTGTAATCCCAGCACTTTGGGAGGCCAGGGCAGGTGGATCATGAGGTCAAGAGATCAAGACCATCCTGGCCAACATAGTGAAACCCTGTCTCTACTGAAAAATACAAAAATTAGCTAGGCGTGCTGGTGTGTGCCTGTAGTCCCAGGTACTAGGGAGGCTGAGGCAGAAGAATTGCTTGAACCCAGGAGGGGGAGGTTGCAGTGAGCCGAGATCACACCACTGTACTCCAGCCTGGCACCTCGTGACAGAGCAAGACTCTGTTTCAAAAAAAAAAAAAAGAAAGAAAGATCAACTTGGAAACAGTTTAAATTGGCTGGTAGAGTTCAGTCTGAGCATGGAAAAGCGACTAGGAAGCTATTATAAGGATTGAACCACAATGGAGGCAGCAGGAACTTAAATTTTCATTTTCATTTATACTTGCCTTTCAACTTTTTGTAGTCACAATGTTCTTTCTTATTGAATCCTCCTTCTGTCAAAGTGGAGACTTTGATAACTCAAAATAAATTGTCCCAAGTATAAAGTAATTTCAAAGTTTTCTTATAGTCTGGTGGTTTTCACAAAAACCAATTTCTATAACATACTTTTAAAAAATTGTTAATCATTTCTGTTCAACATTTCTCCCAGCCTAGATCCTATCCAATGTCCTCCAATCCTCATAAAAAAAGAAAAAGAAAAAAAAAAAAAAGAAACTCACATCTAAGATTAAGTCAGTAAAGTTTCAATTAATCAGAAAACACTAGGAATGGAGTTTTTGGTTACTTAACAGGAATACTTTTGTGGTTTCAGTGTAGTCAATGAAAATATTTTCAAAATATATGTCAATCTCAATAACTAGATATTATAATTAACTCAATTTAACATTTATTTGATGATTCACAATTTTGAAGCCTTTGAATGTACGACTTCAAGCAGTAAGAATGCTGGCGTGATGGCGGGAAGTAACAGTGAAGTGACACTCTGAGGGATCAGTGGTTGAGAGGGAAGAAGGTAGGAGGAAGAGCTTAACAGAAGAAAAGAGTCAAATCCTTATTGTTCCAGTTTATAGATGTAAGTAATTTACTGAATTCTAAGAAAATGCTGATACTTATTTTAAAAGCTGTATTCCTAATGTCTTTTTTTCTCATCAGTTCCTTATTTCTCATAAAAGTAAAATTAGAATAAAAGATCCATTTCTTTAAAAATTATGGTGAGATTGATTTTAGCGTGTTATATAAAGTAGCAAGTGATATTGAGGGCAGGGCATTAAGTAATAGCTCTTTCATTATATCTCAGCTAATTTATTCAACAACGATTGAGTGAGTACTATTATATGTTGAGCATCATCGTAGGTACATGTGATATAGCTGTGAATAAATCATCAGGAAGCTTTGCCCTCTCTTGTTGCGACAGACAGACACTCTAAATAAGGAGAATACATAGTATTTTTGATAGTGAAAGTTACCACAGAGGAAAGGAGTACCAGGGTAAGGTGGGGTTATGAAGAAGACCTTATTGCTAAGATGACATTTAATTAAGATTTAAAAGAGCGATCAAGTCTTATAGAAACTGGGGGAAACAGCAGGTTCTGAGGTAGGACTATGTCTGATAGATTTCAGGAATGTAAAGTGGCTAGTGAAGCTGGAAAAAAAGAAAGAGGAAGAGAAGCAGCAGATGAGATCAGAGAGCTACAGGGAGGCCTTGTGAACTATTGTAATGATGGCTTTTTATTCTTAGTAACACATCATTGGAGGGTTTTAGATGAAGTGACCTGATTTTTTTTAAACTAACAATTTTATCTATTTATTTTTAGTATTACCATATAGTTAATATACAGTAAATTCACTCCTGTTAGCACACAGTCCTGAGCATGCACAGTTGTGTAACCACCACTACAAAGTATAAAAGTCTCATCATTTTAGAAAATCTTCCCATCCCCCTTTGTAGCCAACCTTATTTCATTCCCTGCCCAACCACTCATCTGTCTTCTGTCTTTATAATTTTGATTGTTGCAGAATGCCATAAAAATGGAATTGTATAGTACGTAGCATTTCCATCTGGCTTCTTTCACTAGCAGAGTAGGTTAGATGTTGATTCATGTTGTGTGTATTGGTAGTTTGTCTCCTTCCATTGCTGAGGAGTATTCCAGTGTATGAATGTAGCACAGTGTGTTTATGCATTTCTTTCTCAGTTGAGGGACATCTGATTGTTTTGAAACTTGGTGATTATGAATAAAGCCACTATAAATGTTCAAATGTTCACATACAGGTTTTCATGTGACCACAAGTTTTCATGTCTGTTTGGTAAATAGGAACGAGAATTTTGGGTGATATCATAAGTATATTTTTTAACTTTATAAGAAACTGCCAACTGTTTGCTAAAGTTGCTATACCATTTTGCATTCCTACCTGCAATGTATATTGTCAATAGTCCTTCGTATTGCCAGTTTTTTTTTTTTTTTTTTTTTTTTTTTTAAGTTTTAACCATTGTAATGTGTGTGCAGTGGTATCTCACTGTGGCTTTGGACTTCTCTACTCAATTTCATTTTTTTAAAAAGTTGCCCAACAGAGAAGTTGAAAGACAGGAACAATGAATGCATGTTTACTATTTACCTAAAGTCACCCACCATGTACTATGTGTTCACACTTGCTTTATTTTTTCTCCAATTTTTTCTCACCACTTGAAAAAAAAGTTACAGGTTACAGACATTATTGATGTTTCCTCCATAAACATCTCAGCATGTTACCTCTTAAGAAGAAGAATATTTTCCTACTTAACACAATACCATCATCAGAGTCAAGACATTAAACATGAAACAGTATCATTCCCTAATAGATAGTTCATTTTCAGATTTCTCAAATTATTCCCAATGATGTTCATTATGGAGTTTCCCTTACAGAAGGGCTTTCCCTGCCCATTTCCCTCCTCCCTTTTTAAATTGTCATATTGGATTATCACTAATTATCTTAGTTGGGGATGCCTCAAAAACAAAAGTTGGAGAGAAAATGATCTGGGTGTCAGTGATGGATTTGCTCTTTCTTTTCTGAATACTTTGAGATACATTAGTCTGCAGTTTTTTTATTTGTTTTTTACTTGTGATGACTTTCTCTGGCTCTAATGTCACAGTGTCACTGGCCTCATAAAGTGAGTTGAGAAATGTTCCTTTCTTGATTTTCCGAAAGAATTTTTGAAGGATTGCTATTATTTCTTCTTAAATAATAAATTTAGAAAAATTTATGGGTAAAA